GTTTTCTTTTGGGGAGTCATCAATGTACTCCTTGAAATGCCCCTTCTTGATGAGCTCTTCGATAGCCTGCTTTAGAGCTCGACATTCATCAGTGTGATGCCCGTTATCCCGATGGTAACGGCAGTATTTTTTGTTGTTTCTGGCCGTAGCAGGGGTTTTCATGGGTTCGGGCTCACCGAGCAAGCTAGCCTCCTCGGATTTGTCAAGGATTGCAGATATGGACACATTCAGCGGAGTGTATTGAGTCCTGTCGCGGTCGCGACGAGGAATAGGAGCATAGGACTTTTTCTGCTTATAGCGGGGTTTCTTCCCTTTTCGCTGATCGTCAATGTCTCCTTTGCGATCAGCTCTCCTATTATCTCCCCGGCCAGACATACTGCTGGAAGTGCCGTGATCGCGACGACGGAGTGCCGCCAATGAATTCTCTATTCGGAGATACTTTTCTGCCAGGTTGTAGAATCTGATGAGGGAAATATCGTCCTCAGCCTGCAGTTCTTTCCACAGGTCGGTTTGCGGGCGAACTCCAGCTATTATAAGTGTCCGGATGGACTCTTTTGGAGCGTGGGCCACCTTGTTGAGTTCCCTGTGGAAACGGTCAATGTAAGATTGCAGGGATTCATCTCTTTCTTGCCTTATGTTGCTGAGGTAGCTCAAGGGCATCGAAAACTTCTGATTGGCTTGGAAATGCCGTAGGAACGTCGTGCTCATCTGAGGCCACGAACTGATCGATCCTGTCGGGAGCGACCTTAACCACCGCTTGGCATGAGAAGTCAGCGTCACGGCCAAACAACAGCATTTTGCAAGGTCTGAAACCTGGTGGAGCTCCATCAGGTCGTTGAACTCATATAAGTGATCCTGCGGATCATAGTTCCCATCAAACGGCCGCATATCTGGCATTCTGAACCCTGGTGGGAGTGGAGCAGCTAGCACTTCGGGAGAAAAAAGGGATGCAGAGGCGACCTGCGCCTGTTCGTTTTGCTGCTCCCTTAACCTGTCCAGAGCTCGTTGTAGCTCCTTAATTTGTGGTAGCGGAGCCAATTGGGGATTGCTTTCACCCGTGCGAGTCTGACTTTCTCGATTACGGTTCAGGAAGGTCCGGAAGTCGGATTCCTCCTCGCCTCGGCCAACATTTCCGGCCGCACTCGACACACACTGACTAGAGGCGTGTGAAGGCGGTGGATTGTGCGGGGTATTTTCACGACCCTCGCGGTGGTACGAATCGCCCCGCGAGGTGTGGGGGCCACCCGCATGATAACGATCGGAGTCGTTCTGCTGGTGGTGATAGGAATTATCGCGCCCAGCATTTTCACTTGGGTTTGCCTGCGACGTGGCATGGGACAGCTCGGGATTCACTTTCTCGCCGAGTCTCAGCTTTGCCGATACCCTGCTCGAGGCACCTTTTGCGTTCGCTGGTCCTTGGGAGCCCGTAGGCTTACTTTTTGCCACCTGCTTACCCTTGCGCCTACGCGCTACAGTGCTCGCGGCACGGGCTATTGCCCTTTGCCGCGCTTTCGCGTGACCTGCAGGCGTCTTTGGCGGTTGTACCGCCCCGGTTGTCGTAGAAGACATGCCTCGGTCCAAACGGTCTAGCCTCTGGTTGACCGTCTGGAGAGTATTGTCGAACCTCTCCAGGTAGCTTCTGATGGCAGGGTCGAGTTGCGGAGTTGCCGGGATATTCCCCGCAGCATTTTGCGAAACTGGAGCTTCTTCAGTACGCTGATTAGCTTGCTCTAGCTCAGATTGGTGAGCCATTTGTTGTTGTAGGACCAGCAGGTCAAAGATTCTCCTGATGAAGGGTAGACACTAAATCAGGGCCCTCCTTCTAGCGCCAAACTGTTGATGCGGGATTTTGGCACCAACCAATCGTCACGTGCGCAACGTTGATTGGACAAGGAACGCACGTGAATACGGATTATGAATACGAAATAAATGCTATGAGAGTTTTTAAAGTGGTTCGGATGCTAAGGTAGCAAGTCCTACGTCCACTGATTTGTATTGATATTGATAGTGTGGGTCAGGTCGCTAAAGCGTACTGATTACAAATGATTGAATAGTCTATACAATGCTTTGTTTAGAGAGAGAGAATACAAATGTAAAATTGTCGAATCCCCTTAATGAAGGGATCTTCCTCTTCTTATACCCAGTTGAATGTGCGTAATCATCACTAAATCCTTGGGTTGGTGTGATTGTCAGGACCTAATCTGATTTTACGTCCCATTACTCATTTTCCAAGCCGATTTCACGCGATTTGGAGCAGGTTAGTGGACACGTGGAAGCACCAGGGCATTTGGCAGGCCTGACGTGCGCTTACCGTTCTGACGGGAGCAGGCCATGTTTCGTCACGCGATTCCACGTCAGCCTTTGATTTCTTAGCCATAACAAATATTTTCATCGAGAAAATTCTTCTCAACTAACGGGATAATATTCATTACATTTTTTAGTGGGGTTAACTAAAGAACAATGGAAAATATAGCAACTAGTAAAGGAAATGACCCTTAAATCTATGTTACAGTTTCATACTTACTGAATCAGAATGAAACAAAAAAGTGAGAAAAAAATAAACGGAACATTCCCAATACATCCACCAGTTATTCCCACTTTAATGGGGAACGAAGTTCCTTCTGTTAACAGCATAACTTCTACTTCTTGGATACAACACATCTGCCTTTGAGTTTGAACCATCTTCCTCAAATGAACATGGCCCTTCCTCATCAATTCTCCCCATCTTCCCCATACTAACACTGTAACTCCTCCCCATCCCACCACTCTGCTTCGTCCTCTCTGCACGCCCATACAGATTCAACTGCATGTTTTTTCTTGACGCTGCTCGTAAAACCTCCCTGAATTCTTCATCATCAATCGGCTTGGAAGAGTTGACACTCAAACTCTTAGACAAGTGCACAACTTGTGCTGTGGGCCAGACTACCGTGCCATTGTAATTAACTATCCTGCCATTGCAATCCTGCATGCCCTTGACGTAAAAATCTCTAGCTCTTGAAAGAATTTTAACGGGCGCTAAGATTACTAGCATGAACTTGCTTCGCTTGTTCGCTTTGCTTCTCATTTTTGCAGCTTATGTCTTTAAAAAGAGCTCGTTAATGGCGAAGAAATTGATAGAATGTGAATAAGAAGGAAGAAGATTGCATGTTTTGAGACAAAGGGAGTAGACAGATATATATATATATATATAGATATAGGCTTTAGTTGTATTGTTTAGGATTTATTTCTTGGAAGTGGCTTCAAAATAGTTTGAAAAGATCGGCAAAGCAGTGCAGACTTTTTCAAATGGGAAAAAGACAAGTGAAAGCTTCAAATAAAATACATAATTAAATGAATAGGACATTAGTTAGCAGGCCAAAGTTGAAAAATAATGTGAGGGAACAAACGCTTATTGAATAATTTAACCATTAGATGTCAAATTACCCTTTTGAATTAGGCATTGACTGTTTCTTGTCTTAAGATCGTCGTCAATTTTGATAATCAGATGGTCAAAAACAAAGAAAAGGGTTTCTGGTAATTAAGCTGCGAAAGTTTAGGATGTGGGCAGTCCATGCTGTCTATGATCTAATTTGTGCGCCGATACAATTAAATCAGATCTCGTGCATACAAAAATCTTCTCTTTTACGACATACCTTATTGAATAAACATATAGATAATATAGGATGTATAAATGATTATCTAATACTCTCATTAAGCTGACTATTTTATTCCATTTACTTAGGTCATCATCATAAAATTATTTGAGAGGTAATGATTACATAAGTTCCAATATCATCCAAAAGATCGGTTGTTAATAGGAGTAATCATTGAAACTCTTACTCGGTCGATAATTCAAAGTCTCGAAAAATTAGCTAAAGTACGCGTAAACTGACCCGAACACCCTGATTAAAAAAAAAAAAATTAGTCGACTTTATGCATAGACATTTGCTTTTTCCTGTGTCAGATTTTGAAATCCTTTCTAGATATTTATGTGGAAACTTAATTAGAAGTGGTGAAATTTGTTACTCACCCGCTGTGTCTGGATTTTCCCAGTTCTTTTTTATGTTCATCCGAAACTTCCGCTTACAACTCTTATATAATTATTATGCCCACCAGGTATATAGTATATATTGGGAGTAACAAGACATGTTTAGCCAAAATAGTCGTCTACCCTTTTTAATAAATTCATTTATTTGAATACTATCCGTTGTGCTTGAGAGAGAATGACCATGTTAAGAATAGGTTATTATCTCTAATTTTTTTCCTTTTTTTTTTTTTATTATGATCGGAGTGTTCAGACTAGTATGCGCATACTCCAACTAATCCTTAAAACTTATTGAACACTGTACAAACCCAATGTTCCAAATACGCCACAGATATGGTAAGTGACCCCAAAGTGATGCGAACCTAGAAAGTCAATGGAATAAACCTTTATAACCGTCAGGCCAATCCTTTAGGGTTTCTCTAAATAATTGTTGCGATGTTGTATCCATTTTCCTATTGAAGACGAATTTAAATTCAAAAAAATAATTCCTTATGGTAGAGGGGGTAGTTTTAGTATTGAAGAAATATCGAAGGAGGTCATCATAAATATTTTTAAAATATTTGTCATAATTACAGAGGAATAAAAATACAAGTATATAGTTTAGTTTTTGAAAGTAAATATGGTAGAATGTAGAAATTAATGTTCAATTGATAAAATTGTTTCTTATGTCATTATTGACCAACATATATAAATGACTTCCAGTATTCTAACAAGACTGGGAAATTCAAACATTAGAACAAATAAAAAGGTCAGCATTAAGGAATTCCAACATCTGCCTATTAGAAACCATTTCTAACCCTTTATGCAGATCATTTTGCCTCTTTATGCTATTTCCAAAATGCAAGTCTTAAATTAGTCAAACCCAAATAAACTTATCTTAATTTATATATCCATCATCTCTTTCTTAAACTCAAAACAAGCTCTTGTTTCTTCTCTTTTCCGTATTTGGGTATTAATAGCATTCTCTTGCAACAAAATATTGCAGGTGCAAACATGAGAAGCAAAGCCGAAATGCGAAGCAAGTTGAGGCACTACATGGAAAAACCAAGGAAGATTTTACACAAGGCTAGAGACTTTTATGTCAAGAGCATGGAGGATTGCGCTAGTAAGGTAGGTTATGGCGGCGTGGTGGGCTGCCCCACTGCTCAAGTCTCTCGTTTGCCCAGAAGTTTTAGTGTCAATTATTCAAAGTCGAGGAACGATGATAAGTTTAGAGAATTTCTAGCAGTAGTGTCCAAAAAAATGGGGACTCAGATGGATTTGAATGCGAGGGAAGAAGAGTTGAGACAACAGAAAATGGAGAATTATGGGGCGGTGAAAAGATGTTACACAAGTGTTGGACTTGGAAAGATTGGGAGAATTGATGAAGATAGGCCTTGTTATTTTGAAGAAGATATGTTGTATGCTAGAAGCAGAAGTTATGCTGCCAAGGAACAATTTCAATTCTTTTAGGAAACTGATTTAGTGAGTTTGAAGGGTTTCTTGGATTGATTATTCTCTATAATTCTATATAAGAATTCGTTAATCTGGTTCATTAATTCGTACTAGATAGTCTGAAATGTGAAATTGTTATCTATAAACATAATTACTAATTAGATTATGCAGAGAGAATTAATTTTGTTTTTTGGATTCGATAGGAAAGAGAATTGCGGGAACTGTTGAGGGATCATTTTGAATTAGTTTGTAGTACATGTTGTCTCATTCCTAATGGAGATTCTAAATGAAAAAAAAAAAAAAAAAAATGCAGAGAGAATTAATTTTGTTTTTTGGATTCGATAGGAAAGAGAATTGCGGGAACTGTTGAGGGATCATTTTGAATTAGTTTGTAGTACATGTTGTCTCATTCCTAATGGAGATTCTAAATGAAAAAAAAAAAAAAAAAAAATGTGTTGTGCAGATTCGATCCTCCTCTCCATTTTAACTCTTCTTTTTATATATATGGATTTGCATAAACATCCTTTGTATAAAATGACCAAATTGTATGACATACTACTACCACCTCAAAGTTAAACAATAGTAAAAGAAAGGTAGAAAGCCTTCTGTAATTTGGAAAACTGTCACAAACTTCATTGAAATTCACCAGAAACTTCTCTTAATAATTCATCATAGTTCTCTTTTCCTGTTTTCCAAATCAAGGAATCTGCTTGCTTGTGATTATAAATGCAATTAAAAAAAAAAAAAAAATGGCTGAATTACTTTGACCCCCTATCTATTTCCCACTATCAATATTAATCCTAATGTACGTTAATCTTTGTTTATTTGATTTACAATAAAGATCGGCTTACAATCCAACCTTATAAATTTTTTCTCACAACCTCGACGTATCAACTAGCAATTAGGCAGACAAAATTCATAGTGAATAGGCGGGACCTATTTACGAACTGATTAATTGCGAGCTATCATGTCGAGATTATGAGAGAAAGTTTATGAGATTGGGTTGTAAGTATAGTATTACTCTTTGATTTATGATTCTAACAAAGTTAACCATTGAAATAGCTATTTTACCCATATTATTTATAATCACTGCCTTCAGCACCCACAAGTACTGAAAACAGGAGCTTAGCTCCTATTTCGTTGAAAAAATTTTGTTAGGTCAGTAAATTACATTTTTACCCTTCCCTCCCACAGTTGCCACCAAACTTGTGCTAACGGTTTCCGTGGAGCCACTTGAGGCCGCGGAGGCCTCATAGCAACTATAAGAGGCCTTCCAAGTTCCCTAGAGGCTAGAAACTCCTCACAAAACCGACAAGGGCTTTAAAAGCTAGATTCGGCCTTGGAAGCTCTGAAGGAGGCCCATATGAGATATTTATTATGACAGTTTGATACTATCAATATTTCTGCAAGACTTTTAGGTTCAGAATAAATGTATTCAGAAGCATTGAAAATAGGTTAGATACTGCATATGAAAAATGTACAATTTGGTTAGATACAAGTCATTTTATAGTCACAGCCACTATCGTTGTCCAAGTCCTCCCAGCCTTTCATCTTGGAAAGATCTTTCTTGCAACTTGGTTTCCTTCCTGTCAAACTCATAAGTAGCTTTCGCCAAGTTTTGCAAGGAAACACAAACTAAAAATAGTAATAAGTCCAAATTTGGACAAACAAAGAGAAAGAGGTACAGTTTGATATGTGTGGGTTTCCCATAGTTGACATGACAACAACTTTGAGAGTTGTCGGTTTGGCATAGCATGATAGGACGGTGGTCCATAATATTTTACCATCACTTCCAAAATTAGAAATGGAAAACTCCCTATTTACTTAATAATCAAACCGACATGCTCCGTTTCACCTTCAATTATTAAACTGAACCGAACCAAGAAATCAAACCAAATATTAGGGCTTTGTTTGGTTGGATTTTAAGAATACTGGCTCCGTTTGGTTCACAATTTTGTGTTTTTGGGAAAAGTTTTTTGAAAAAAGTTAAAAAAAAGTTGAATTGGGCGGGTATTACGATGTAGGATTTATAAATTAATAAAATACCCCCTATGTTTATTTTTTTACAAAACACCCCTTATAATAAAACATTAAAAGTTAACAAAAACACCCCCAATCCACCCTCAAATACGGACAGCCGGCCACCACCGTCGGAGGGTGGCCGGAGTCGCCGTAACAAAAACATTAAAAATATTTAGGGGTATTTAATTGAATTAACAAATTTAGGGGGTTTAAAAAATATTGAATAAAATTGAATAATATTGTGAGTTTTTGGGTATTTTACTGTTTAACTTTTTTGGAAATACTAAAAGTAGTATTCTCAAAATCCAACCAAACGAAGCCACTATTTTTAGTATTCTTAAAAAAATTAAACAGTAAAATACCCAAAAACTCATAATATTATTCAACTTTATTCAACATTTTTTAAACCCTTTGAATTTGTTAATTCAATTAAATACCCATAAATATTTTTAATATTTTTGTTACGGCGACTCCGACCACCTTCCGACGGTGGTGGCCGACTATCCGTATTTGAGGGTGGATTGGGAGTGTTTTTATTAACTTTTAATATTTTATTATAAGGGGTGTTTTGTAAAAGAATAAACATAGGAGGTATTTTATAATTTGTAAATCTTACATCGTAATACCCATCCAATTCAACTTTTTTTTTAATTTTTTTCAAAAAATTTTTCTCAAAAATATAAAATTGTGAACCAATTTTTCATAAAATTGGTTCGGTTTCGGTTTACAATAATAGGTAAACCAAATATCCGATTCCATTTTGATTTTTTTAAAAACATAAACCGATTAACCGAAACCGAATTCTTAAACCGATTTTTAAAAAAATTCTTCCATTAAATCCTTCTCTCTTTCTCCGTATTATACCACCCTCTCTTTCTCGATTTCTACATTTTTTTTCTCTTATTAAATGCCTCTCTCTTTCTCGATTTCTACATTTTCTCTTTTATTAAATGCCTCTCTCTCTCTCTCTCTCTCGATCTCTTCAATCTTCATCTTTCACTTTTAGTAAATACGTCTCTCTCCTGTCATTTTCAAACTTTCTCTTTTATTAACTTTCTCACTCTCTCTGCAAATAGTCACATACGCATCCACCATTTCTATCTTTTTCTTCACTGCAACTTCAGTTCCAATGTTCTATACTCCAAATAAAACTTCATCATCAAAACCATAAGCCATCTGTATAAGCACCATCAACCACGGTTTTACCATCTCAACCTACCACTCAACCTCCAATCCGAACAAATCTTATGGTCTTTGGTTTCACCATCTCAACCTCCAATCCGAAAAATTCTAAGAAAAATAAACCGGTTTTTTCCAACCCTATGGACCACCGCTCATTTATTGAGAGCTCTACCATTCAAACTTCATGTCAACAATACATTATCCTCTTTTCAATCCACTGCCCTATAAATTTGCAGGGTATTTTTTTGCCACCTCTATGTTTTACTGTCAATCTCGCGAGGTTTAGGAAACTAACAACATAACCCTCAATGTGACTATGGAGAGGAGAAAGTAGTATATGGTTCATTGGTTTTGATGTTGGTTGTTTTTTTTTTTTAAGAAAAAAATCAAATATAAATCAGATTTAGGGGGTACTAGTGTTAGTTTCAGAAACTTGGGGGTTTTAGAGTTACTAAAACTCCGGGGTAAAAATTTGATTTACCCTTAAGTTTGCGTGATTCTGTAGGTGAAAAGAACCTTAACTAATGTTCAAAGTTTGACACTTAATGGATTTGGAAGAAAAATCTAACAACATACACACTTATGTTTTACGATGTGACACTGAACATAATTATATTTATTAAAAAAACTTTTAAATTATGTTAAAGGTTTAATTAAAATTTTAAATAAATAAATTTAATTTTTATATCCAAACTATAAAAAACATAACATTTTTTATATTTACTATGGATAATTAATCATAACTTGTTATAATTTAAGATTAATTTTAGTGTTAACTTATTTAATATTTAGATATGAGTTCAAATTAGTATTTAAATATTTTTTATATTTTATTTTATTAGTAATAGTAAATATATAAATTTTATATATTAATATAAGTAAATGTTAACTAACAAGAGGCCTTCAACTACAAGATCCTCCTTTCATTTGTTAACAGCTCTACCATTCAAACCTACCAACGTGAATTTGTATTTGTATAATTCCAATAGTATAGATTTAGGGGTGCTGGTGTTAGTTTCGGAAATTTATGCTCATTGGATTTACCACACAAAATAAACATTTTAAATACGACAGTTATAAGCAAGGGTCCCTCAATTATGATGGTTGTCAGCGATGGAAGAATAAATGAAATATCTAAGTCGCATGTCGGCATGAAAGCTACTCCGGTTTGTTAACCATATGATACAAAGGGTGCAGATTGTAGTTTGGCAAAACATAAAGGGCCACGCAGAAGCTTTCCAATATGCTGTCGTTTTGAATTAGTTTTTAGTTAACACTTGAGCTCAAACGAGCTACTGTATTACTTTGCTAATTCTCTTCTCCTTCGTGTCTTCTCTCCTCTGTATATAAGAGAGTTTTTGATTGTTTTCAGATTCATTCAATTAATACAAATCAGATCCAGTTTTTGCTCTTTTCTTCTTTTAATCTTCACACGCTTCATTCCTGTTATTAACAAATCTTTTGGTGAAGAAACAGCTGCATGAACAATATGCATATCCGTTTTATTAGTCCTCTGAGGTTGAGGTGGATATATTTTATTCTGATTCTTCTGCTTAAACTGTCGGCATCGACCGTCTTCTCCGGCTCAATTGTTAAATATCTTCCAGGCTATGAGGGTCAACTTCCATTCAAGCTCGAAACAGGGTAAGCTGTTTTAAGTTTTTTCTTCCCTTTTGCTTACGAGCATATCATTGATGACCATATGCAGTAAACAATTTGATTTGTTATTTTTGTTGTTGACTTTGTTTTTTTGTGTATGTATACATATATGTATGTATGTATGTATATATGTATATATACAAATATGTATATATATAGAGTTTAATGAATTGTTTTTAATTTAAAAAAAGAAAACGTGAAATTACACTAAAGCCCTGTCAATCTCGGGAGTGAAATTTGATTTTAATATATGGGTGTAATGCTGAATAGGTACGAAAGTGTAGGAGACTCCGAGTTATTCTACTACTTCATCGAGTCGCAAGGTGACATTGAAGAGGATCCTCTAATTCTTTGGCTGGCAGGAGGCCCTGGCTGTTCTTCCTTTTATGGACTCATCTATGAAATTGGTATTCTGTCTCATCTTTAAGTAACACTTTGTTTCCATAACAATAGTTAGTCATGCATAAAGGGGTATCTAATCATTTTGAATACCACAAGGGCAAACAGTCTTTCACAAGAACCTTGTAGTAGTTTCTTGGCGGCATGAAACTTGTCCAAATTTTAGATACAGGACATTCGGATTTCTGTTTCAATATATATATATATATATATAATTTCAGGATTTCTGTTTCAATTTGTGCAGGTCCATTGGAGTTTGATATCCAGAAGTATACGGGTGGCTTACCAAGACTTAAGTATTATCCATATGCATGGACTAAGGTACTGAGCCTACTGGTGTACACACAAACAAATTTTACTTACTTTTATGTAAACATTAATGTATATGAATATAGAAGATCTCTAAAAGATGATAATTATTTCTCCAGACAGCCAGCATTATCTTTCTAGATGCACCTGTAGGCACAGGTTTCTCTTATGCTAGAACCCCAGAAGGCTGGCCCACCTCAGACTCTAAATCAGCTGAGCAATCCTATCAGTTTCTTAAAAAGGTGAGTTAATTAATTAAATAAACCCTTATAAATTATTTTGATGAATGTGCTTTGAATTTCTTTCGAAAATTATATTGCAGTGGTTACTTAAACACCCACAGTATCTCCAAGTTGAGCTATACATTGGTGGTGATTCTTATTCAGGCATGGTAGTTCCCCAAATCACCAAAAAGATAATAGACGGTCAGTTAACTCTTATTCAGACACGATATGTGCATTGATGGAAACACTATAGATCCCTTCTTTAATTACTTTGATTTATTAGCAGAAAATGGACCTGATACCAATCTACGTATGAATCTCAAAGTATGTTATTAATAATAAGACTTTGTATATATTACTCTTCTTGAAATTTAATTATAGCAGATCCGCGTAACGTATTCTGAATGAGTGTAGGGATATTATGGGGAGCCCACAACATCTATTATTGATGAGAATTCAAAAATAATATTTGCTCATCGTATGGCACTCCTATCGATGAACTCTATCAGGTGCTTAATTAATTGATAAATAATCCTATGTATATTTCACAATATTTACAGCATAAATTCGTTTTAATTTATAGTTCTCATTCAAAGTGTCTGATGTCTTCCTGTAGGAACTCAAAACAAGCTGCAAGGGAATATCATGTTGTAGACGTCTCCAATACGAGGTGTGTAGCTGCTCTTCAAACTTACAAAAACGTGAGATTTTATAGTTAATCGCATTCAAAAATTTCCTTCAAACTTCCAAGGACTAAATTGTTTTATTTATTTTTTTGAAATTGCAGTGCATCAAAGACATATATCGGAGTCATATCCTGGAACCAAGTGTACTTATGCATCTCCACAATGAACGAAGCAGAAATGCCTCACAGGTCTCTACAAGAAAATTCTACAAGTTTCATCCTTTCACCTCCAAGAATCCCTGAACTATGGTGTCGGGTAAACCAACCCTTAACCCTGATAATCATATAAGAACATACAAATCCTCTTACATACGCCCATATTAATCGATCCCTTTTTTTCAGAACTTTAATTATGCGCTTTCCTACATGTGGGCAAATGATGCTCAAGTCCAAGATGCTTTACACATTAGAAAGGTTAGTGATTAAAACATGCAATTGTAATGTCAAGAAATTCAATAGAAATTTTAAATTGGACATTTGCTCTGTTTTTCTTTTTGTAAAATTCAGACCAATAACTCTTTATGTCAAGAATTGTTAAAATAGAAAATTGTTAAAATCAAGGAATATGGATAAAGAGCTCAAATCAGCAGAGGAAGCTAGAGGGTGCAAATTAAAAATATAACACCAGGATTTTCCTTTATGATGGCAACAGGGATTTGTATCGATTGGCCGCGATGCAACAAGAGCATATCATACACCAAGGATATCTTGAGCGTGGTTGATATAATCGGTATCTCAGTCGATACGGCTTGCAAGTTCTCATGAATGGTAATTCCAATACTGAGTAACTGATCAACATTAAAATATTACTACTTCACTGATATAATAAATTAACTGATCTGAACAAACTCCATTTGTGCCCTATGATGAGCGCTGTTGGTAATCAACTATATTGTGTTTTCTCAAAGTAGGTACACACACTTGAAGCAATTCATTAACTATATAAGTTGTTTTCCCTCAGTGGAGATCATGACATGGTTGTTCCCCTTCTGGGTACCGAACAATGGATAAAGTCGCTTAACTTGACCATTGTAAATGACTGGCGCCCATGGTTCGTTGACGGCCAAGTTGCAGGGTGGGCAATCTCTAACATTCTGTTAACGATCGACGTACTTTCTCTTTGGTTGAATATATATTACTTTTAAAAGAATCTTCCTCTCTAATTTATGATGTTTTTTCAATGTAGATACACACAAAAATATTCAGAACATGGATATCGTTTGACTTACGCCACTGTCAAGGCAAGTAAGATACAATCATATACTATATATAGATACAATCTTGTATATGATTGTAAGATTAGCACCAATTTCTTGGAATATTTTATAGATGTATATTAAAGAAACAAGTCTTACATGAGTTGTCTTATTTGGTATAGGGTGCAGGTCATCCAGCTCTAGAATATTATCGCAGAGAAGGTTATGAGATGTTTCAAAGGTGGATACATTGGTATCCTCTCTAGATTATGCTCAGATTACCAGAAGGTTCATAATAAGATTCAGTATTCACTAAGCGCAAGTAGAAATAATGTTAAGAGATTTTAGAAATGAGTGTGACCACTACTATTTATGTTGCGTGGTGTTTATTGTAATTGCAAATCAGAAATCAGTGTGATATAATTATTTATGTCACTTATCATATCATCCCATGTTCATTAACCATATACAGACACCAATTCACAAACGTATGATAGGAAAGAACAATTTTCACCAGAGGTTTGGCGTAACACTTGAGTTTTGTAGAACCTTTTTAGTAGGCATGGCAATGGGGCGGGGATCTCATTCACCGTACCCATCCCCACCCTCAAAATCATTCCCCACCCCCGCCCCATCCCCGTTACGGGGATAATAGGAATTCCCCTTCCCCGCCTCAAAGGGGGATGTTGGAGGCTCATCCCTGTCCCGTTAATTTTATATAAACATAAATTAATTTGAGCATTATCAAACACAATAGTTAATTCTCGTCTACATGACAAACACTTAAATTAATCATTTAAACATAATTAATTATACATAAATATAGGTCAGGGTTTGTTCTTGTTCAATTGTTTAGGGTGAGGGAAATTAGGAAAATATGAGTTTATATAGGTAGGATAATTGTGTAATTAGGTGAAATATAGGGATATTAGTGAAAAGTAAATATATATATACATTTTTTTAATTTTATATATTATATACGGGACGGACCGGGGGAGAGGTATCACCCGCCCCTGCCCCATCCCCGAGGACGGGGATTAAAACACCCCCCACCCCCGCCCCTATCCCCAAAAAAACCGGGGCTTTCCCGCCCTATATGGGGCGGGATGGGACGGGTCCCCGAAATCTTGGGGAACATTGCCATGCCTACTTTTTAGTCCTTCTCAGTAATATTTTGGTCCTTACCATTAGAAAACCTCTAGACTAAATTGTTATTCACATTCACCAAAACATGACTAAATTTTTTTACAAGATTAAAGTGTTACTTATACTAAACCTCAAGGATAAAATTGTTATTATCTCCCACATAGACACCATATACAGACACAAATTCACACAAGTATATGCAGAAACCAATTCAGCCACCCCCACACACATATGCAGACACCAATTCATTTACCTAGAGATAAAATTTACAATGAATGCATTTTCAATTTTTCTTAAAACAAAATCAAAGATCTTTTTTATGTTTTCAAAACAGAACACTACATACAGGATCAAACACTACTTTTATTTCCCCTTCATTAGAGATAAAATTGCAGAAAAATATCATTCAAATTATACGAGATATTTATTATGCTTCAGAAGCAAAAAAAAAAAAAAAAGGCTAATCTTACTCCACTATTGTAAAGAGTCCCTTCAATTAGATTCTTCAATTAGCATTGTTTTCAGCTGGATGCTCTCAGTTTTTTTTTTTTTTTAATGGCATACTGCAAAGCTATAGAAAACATTGGTGTACTGCATTTGATGCAAGGAACTAATTCTCCTTTGCAAAAGTTCCTGAATTACTGCAGAATCAAAGCTTCTATAAACTAAGTCAAGAATCTTACAGGCAAGTCCAAGTGTTCCGAGTTTGGTTTGAGGGGAAGAGTTAACCAAAAGCAATGAAGATGCAAAAGTGTAAAGTCCAGGTGTCCTTAGTGTTGAGATTGTGAAGCCAAATTCAATCCAAATTAGAGTTGGATTAGGACATAAGTTTTCCTAATTTGTGTTTATGTAGAATTGTTTTCGTTCAGGAATACAATTAAGAATAGTATTATAATTGTATTAGGAATTAAAATAAAATTCCTATTAGGCTATAGGATTTGACTTTTAAGTCTTATTAGGAATAGTGTCCCATGTAGGGATGGGCATAATACTCGCCACCGCGGGGACCAGTCCCAAAAGGGCTAGAGTTTCCCCGAATTATTCCAGGTTTGGGTCGGGCCTAGGCCGAAGATTGGTCCCCGAATTCGGGGACGGGCCAAGGACGAGAATATATATATATATATCATACATCATACATAATATATTAATGTTATGAAAGAAAAGTTATACATTAGACATTATACATTATACATTGTATAATGTATATTTGATATTTTGATTGATTATAATAAATCAATAAATCATTATAATTTTTTTTGTCTCTCATTGAATCATTATTTCAATTCAATCATCTAATTGCCCTTGTTATATTATGGTAGCAATTTATTTATAATTTATTATAATATATATGGTAGTTATTTATTTAGAATTTATTATAATATATGTGTATAATGTATCATATGTAATACATTATGAATAATGTTATCTATTATTTAGAATATTAATGAGACATTATAATATACATGGTAAAATTTATTTTGAATTTATAATAATATATTATATATTATACGTTATACATAATATGCTATAAAACAAAAATTATACATTATACATTTTACATAATAAGCTATTATCTGTAATCATAATATCATAATATCATATGTTAATACAATAATACATAATATTATACCATTAATATATGATATATCTACATATATGTATAATGTATCATAATTATAATTTTCATATTTTGATAATAAATCATTATATATTTTTTTCAATCATTATAAATTAAAAAGAAGAATTATAATGCAAAACCCCCAAATTCGGAGATTCCTCGAATTCCCTGTTTGGGCTACGGGCCGAGACCGAGACCGGGACTGGGGAGTCCCCTTGAGCTTTCAGGCTGGGGTCGGAGATAGGGGTCCCCGGCCCTGACTCGTGCCCATCCCTAGTCCCATGTATTACCTATAAAAAAGGGTTAAGTGCTAGAGTTAGACATCATAAATTGAATAAAAGGCAAAGCCACAATTAGAGAGTGAGAGCCGCCAAATATGATTTATTGAGTGAGCCAATTTGTGAGGCTTGAGAGATTCTTGTAATTTTCTTCTTCTTCGTAGTGAAATTCCGAAGCGGCAAAGTGGACGTAGCTTTCATACAGAGAGTGAACCACTATAAATCTTATGTTTGTGTATGTGGTTATTTTGTGTCATTTGTTCGCATTATTTTCGCTTTCAGTGATTTAGGATTTGCTAGTATCTAATTAAATCCCCCAACACCCATTTTGGTTTGAGGGGATGAGTTAACCAAAAGCAATGAAGATGCAAAAGTGTAAAGTCCAAATGTCCCCAATTTGGTTTGAGGGGAAGTGTTGACCAAAAGCAATGAAGATAAATAAGTGCAAAGTCCCGGTGTCCCTAGTCTGGTTTGAGGGGATCGAAGAGTTAACCAAAAGCAATTAAGATGCAAAAAGTGTAAAGACCAAATGTCCCCAGTTCGGTTTGAGGGGAAGTGTTGAACAAAAAGGACGTAAATGCAAAAGTGTCAAGTAGTAGGAGCAAATTGAACTTTGGCGAAGCAGTGTCGTTTTATCATACAAAGAATAGCAGTCTGGTTTGAAGCGGTGTCGTTTTATTATACAAAGAATGGTAGTCTGATTTGTTAGTTCGTGTTGTATAAAAAGGGAGAAGTTATTCCCTTGTCAGCTAGTTCAGTTAAGAAGAAGAAGAAGAAGAAGAAGTAAAATCCAATTTTTCTTTCACTCCTTTACAGCTTCTCTGATTTCTTGCCACTGTTTCACAATACAATACATCAATATTTCTGCAAGATTTTTAGCTTCTGAATAAATGAATTCAGAAGCATTGAAAATAGGTTAGATATTGCATTAATTTGAAATTAGCATATGAAAAACGTATAGTACCATAAACATATTGAAAATAGGTCATTTTCTGATGTCCTTTTATTAGTACAATTTGTCATGTATCGCCATCCAATTAGTACCTAAATGTTGGAATCCACCATCCAAAAGAGCTGTGGTTAACTTGTAATTCCAAGCTCTAGAAGCTTGTTTCAACCCATAAAGAGATTTATGAAGCCTACACACAAGATCCTTCCCCCTTTGCTTCGGAAATCCTTGAGGCAATGTCATATAAATCTCCTCTTGCAAATCCCCTTGCAAGAAAGCATTATCGACATCAAGCTGATAAAGCGGCCAATTATGCATTGAAGCTAAGGCCAAAACTGTCCTAACAGTGACCATTTTCACAACTGGAGAAAAGGTCTCCTCATAATCAATCCCAGCTTGTTGTGTGTACCCTTTGGCAACCAAACGAGCCTTATATCTGTCCAAAGTACCATCAGCCTTATACTTAAGTTTATACACCCATTTACAACCAATGGGAACCTTGCCAGGAGGCAAAGGTATTAAAGACCAGGTATGGTTGTGCTCTAAGGCTTGGATTTCTTTCTTCATAGCATCTATCCAATTCTGATCCTTAGAAGCTTGAAGAAAACTGGTGGGTTCAACCAAAGATAGATTGGACAAAAAAGCTTTGTATGAATAGGAGACATTATCATAGGAGACAAAATTGGTGATAGGATACTTGGAAAAATTGGCTGTAGGATTATGTTTAAGTGTAGGACAAATAAAGTCTTGTGTCCATATGGGAGGTTGTGTGTGTCTGTTGGATTTTCGAAGGATAGGAGGTGAAGCAGTAGAAATTTCAGGTGAAGAGGAAGAACCTGAGGTGGTTGAATCAAGGGAAGAAAATGGAATAATAGGAGCTGTAGAATCTGGACGCTGGACAGTAGGTGAATAAGGTTCTGTAGAAGGTGAATGTGTTGAGTCTAAATCAAGAAAATCTGAATTAATGGGAAAAGGAACCTGGGATGGCTTAGACAAGGCAAAAGGAAAAATGTTTTCATAGAAAACAGCATCCCTGGTTACAAAGACAGAATGTGAAGATAAGTTGTAAAGAATATATCCTTTTTGTGTGAGAGAATAACCCAAGAAAACTGATGGAATAGCTCTAGGATGCAACTTGTCTTTTGAAGGAAGAAATGTAGCATAGGCTAAAGATCCAAAAACCTTTAAATGATCCAAGGAAGGAGGTTTATCAAAGAATGTTTCAAAAGGAGAAAGACCTTTAAGAACAACTGTGGGAAGTCTATTGATTATATACACAGCAGTTTGCACACAATAGCCCCAAAAATGAGTAGGTATATTAGACTGAATTTTTAAAGCTCTAGCAACTTCTAATATGTGCCTGTGTTTCCTCTCAACAATACCATTTTGTTGAGGGGAATAAGCACAGGAGCTTTGATGAATAATTCCCTGGCTACTCAATAGACCATGACAATCTTTGTTGAAGAACTCTAAACCATTATCAGTCCTAATGCATTTGGGAATCAAGTG